GCCAGCTGGGTGATGGGCACGTCCTTCCAACTTAAAAATAGAAAGTCACAGGAGATCATCTTCTACACCCAAACAACTAAAATAAGCGGGACAAGCTACATAATCATAGCTTTTAAAACCCCATCCCAGACTGAGGAAACCTAAATCAACTCCAAAGAGCAACAAGCCCATTTAAAGGGGAGGAAATCCTTGGCTGCTGTCATCCCCGACAGACTGGGAGGGCAAGGTATCTACTGGAGACAAAGGTTAAGGAGAACACAGTCTAACGCTGAGGTGCTCTGTATAAGGCAGGCAGCATCCACGGAGCCACAGGTCCAGGGAGAGGCTGAGTTAACCCCCACTACACACACACACACACACACACAGGATCCACGGAGCCACAAGTCCAGGGAGAGGCTGCGTTAACCCCCGCTACACACACACACACACACACACACGCAGGATCCAAGGAGCCACAAGTCCAGGGAGAGGCTGAGTTAACCCCTGGTGCCACACACACACACACACACACACACACAGGATCCGCGGAGCCACAAGTACAGGGACAGGCTGCGTTAACCCCCTCTACACACACACACACACAAACACAGGATCCACAGAGCCACAAGTACAGGGGAGGCTACAGTAACCCCCGCTACACACACACACACACACACACAGGATCCACGGAGCCACAAGTACAGGGGAGGCTACAGTAACCCCCGCTACACACACACACACACACACACACACATACAGGATCCACAGAGCCACAAGTCCAGGGAGAGGCTGCGTTAACCCCCACTACACACACACACACACACAGGATCCAAGGAGCCACAAGTCCAGGGAGAGGCTGCGTTAACCCCCGCTACACACACACACACACACACACACAGGATCCACAGAGCCACAAGTACAGGGGGAGGCTACAGTACCCCTGCTACACACACACACACACACAAAATGAGGACAAGAAAAGAGAACTGAGACAATCTCTCTGACATAATCACGGCTTTCAGTTACAGAAGTCTAGGGAACTGTGGGCGCACAGGAAAGCCGAGAGAAATCTTCAGAGTGTGGGGCAGCCACAGAAACCTAAACAGGCCAAGGGTCCAGCAGCAAGGCTGGAAGAGCCCTCGGGCACAGAAAGCCAGGGCCAGAACAGGAGAGCAGAGTTCTTCAGCAGCACAGAAACCTGGCAGCAGGCCTGTGAAGCCAGGAGGTAACTCCTAGCAGAGGCGAGACTGGAGCAGCCCATACGTAATGAGAAGTTATGCAACACCATTAGTCAGAAGGGAAATACAAATTCAATTAAATGCAAAACAAAACAACCTCAGATACCATTTTACGCCTATGAGGATTGATTAAAAAATAAAAAAAAGTAGGGGCCAGCGTTGTGGCATAGTGGGTTAAGCTGCCCCTGAATTGCTGGCATCCCATATGGGTGCCGGTTCAAGTCCTGGCTGCTCTACTTCAGATCCAGCTCCCTGCTAATGTGCCTGAGAAAAGCAGCGGGAGATGGCCCAACCACTTGGGCACCTGCCACATACATGGGAGACCTGGAAGAAGCTCCTGGCTCCTGACTTCAGCCAGCCTAGCCTTGGCTACTGTGGCCATTTAGGGAGTGAACCAGCATATGGAAGACCTCTTTCTCCCATGGTGTCTCTCCTCTCTCTGTAATGCTGCCTTTCAAATAAATAAATCAGTTAAAAATAAACAGCAAACCAAACAAAACCAGAAAACACCAAATGTTGGCAGGAAGGTTCAGTAAGTGTACCTCTCATATGTTGCTAAGTATAAAACAGTACCACTGTGAATACTGCTGGGCAAGTTCCTGTAAGACTAAAACTAGACACCCAAAAGAAGTAACATTTTTTACTCTGGAGTATTTACTACCTCCAATGAAAACATCTGCCCACAAAAATCCTTACACAAGAATGTATATTATTCACAATGATACAAAGCTAGAAGAAATCCATCTATCAATCAAGAGAAAGATAGGCATACAAATTATAAAATGTATGATGGAATACTACTCTGCAATTAAGACGACAGAACAACCGCTAGTTACAACAGCACAGATGATCCTCAGAACCATTATTTTCAGTGAGAGACGCCAGACACAGAAAACACACCACATGGTTTTATTTATATCAAGTTCAATGCCCGGCCAAATGAACCCCGGCAATAGAAATGACGAGGGTGTCCAGGGTCTTTGCATCTCTGCACACCAATGTGCTCTGCACCTCTGCCAATATGACTGGCACTCAAGGGCGCAGGGGAGGGGGCATCTAAGAGAGCATTCTAAATACATAAGAACACACAAAAAAACACACGACAAACACAATGAACCACGTCATAGAGACATACGAACTTGATGCTGTCACTAACCCGGGACTCCTAACTATCAAAGATGCACAGTTACTACTACAGAGTTCAACCTAAAACTAGTCCCACACCTCAGACGAGCCATCAAGACGAGGCTCAGAGACAAGCATGCTGCAGGCTGCTCTTCTGCTTGCAGTTCTCGGCAGTGGAGCAGCTGGCCGAGCACACGCTGGTGTATCCGAGGACAGAACCGAGACTGGGCTGTTAACGGAAGTCTGGGGAATCTTCATCTCTCCTAGTCCACACTGCACACGGCGCGGTGCTTGTGAGAAGCAGGAACTGGTTTCTCCCTGCCTTCCTTGCCCAAGTCTCTCCTTCTTCCCTTCCCTCCCTACCCACAGTCTCTTCCACAATTCCCAGGAAAAGGTCCTGTTGGGTGGGGCACCTACACTTGGACCAATCAAAGGGGGAGACACAATCGCAGGTGATGGAGAAGCAGCAGTGTCCTGCAACCCAACAGAACAGGAGAAAGGAAGACCCCTCACGACTGGGTATTGGCAGACAACACGGTAGGTACCAATCGTGTGAGTCGGGGATCTGCTTGAGAAACTGATGAGAACACTGGCCCGCTCCCCAGTGACAGGAACATCTCACAAACACCACCCGTCCAAGTACTCCCAGGGGCTTCACGAAAGCTCTGTAAGCCGTCCAAGGTCCTAACTAAGAAACTCCCTACGCTTATCTAGATTGTTCCAATGTCACAAGCATTGTTCTAAAATTTTTCAAACTTTAAAAACTGTATGTGCAATTATATTCCAAGGTTTCAGGACCCCAACAAGCAAATATGGTAGCGCACTGAGCCTGTGCGGGAATGCAGCAGCAAGCCGCGGGCAGAGCAGGCAGCAGGACTGTGCAGCGGGCTACCAGTGACTGGCGTCTGTGGTCATCACGTGAGTAAAGCTGACAGACTCTGCTTTTCTTTCTACAGTTAGAATACATTTCCAAACACAAACATTCGGGGGACGTATCCCTAGTACCTCATCCATTAAAATCATAATATCTGAAATTAGGGTAAGTCAAACAATTAGTGAAGCCCAGTCCACTGCTACTCATGGTAACCTAGGAAGAAAAAAAGTACACATTGCTCAATCAAAAGTTCCTACCAAATTATGAGTACATAGCTATTACTCTGAAATTATCCTATTTAAAACACGCAAAAACAAACACAAGGACGAGAAGTAAAGCTAGGAAAATAAAACAGGAAATATTTGTCTCAAATCTCACGTAACAAGAGAGAAAAATCAAAAATCACACAAAAGCAGTCAGGAAACACAGCCCTCTGCTGGTGACCGGGGTGGCCGGGTGCTGGAAGCACATCCTTAACCTCTGAGGACACCGCGGAAGGAAATGAGCGCATTCTGCCCCAGAACGTTCTGCTACCACAGGAAAAGACAAAGCAGCACAACCCCACACAACCTGGATTCTTCTACATTCTTTCAGTGCACAAGGAAAAAACGCTTACAAACACAGCACCACCTCCACATACTTTGATTTTATCTCATGCATTAAGTTTCACACATGAAATTTTATAAAAGTTTTAAGTACTAGATTTACTGACACTTTTTTCCTAGGCAATCTACAAGAAAGAATATAGTTTTCTTGGTATCTAAATATATAAAAACTAGACGAAACTTAGAATGATGAAATAATTTTTGGCATGGTATGGATATCATTTTTATGAACAATGTTTAACCCAAATATTAAGGCAGGTACATAAAGTCTAATTTTTATTTAGAAATTTCTTCACTTGAGAAACTTTGGAGAAAGTATTTTGAAATCACAACTGTCACCGACTTTCCCACCTATGGATGTAGCACACACGGTTTCTAATCATCTCCTGGGGCACGCAGTAATCTGTAATTTGGTTTGAATCACCATTCCACCTGGATACACTAAAGGCTAGCTGGCAGTTCCAGAAAGAGTCCCTACGTAGAAATAACCCCAGCCAGATGCGCCTGGGCCTTTCTCTGCTCATTCTTGAAGCGCAGTAACTTGCATGTAAGAATTTAAGTCTATAAGAATATATAAGAATTTAAGTATTCTTTAATGTCTAAACACACCAGATTTTTTTTTTTTTTTTTGACATGGGAAGTGATACATGGCAGTGGAATCTCCAAATGTGTGGAATCATCAAGGGCGGTCTCTGGATGCCCCTCCCAAGGTCACAGGGTTCAAGGCGGCTCTCAAGAGAAAGCAGGCGTCTGGTACTGCCTACAGGTGTCTCAAAACTCAGTCACACACTCAGCAGGCAGGACTCAAATTGTACTACTGAATCAAAGTGAAGGTACCTTATGAAATACCTCACAGAGAACGAGAGAAAACACCACGCAAAGTTCACCCGAGTCCTCTTGCGGGAAACTCAGAGCTGAAGTAGCTTTCTGTACAAGTATTTTGTCAGGACAGGGGTTCAAGCGGCACTGATTACAACACACAGCTGTCACAGCTTCAGGACTCTCACACATAAATGAGACCTTCTGTGTCTACATCACCCGCCTTCCTCAGTTTCATCTTCAAACGGACAAATACTTAGAAATATATTCAGAGACTACCGTCCAGATATACAGTGCGAAATGTGAAGAGCAGAGATTGTAACAGACAAGAAGCTGCCGTGTGCTCTGGGCTCTGATTACCTGGAGGCAGGAACTGCAGCTGGTTGTTAGCCAGCCGAAGGTGTCGTAAAGCTCTCAGCCGACCGATTTCTGGGCAAACGATTTCTAAGGCATTGTCACTGAGATCCAGACACTGGAGCTTTACAAGAGACCCGATGGCTGCGGGGAGAACAGAGGATGAAAGGCAAAATGGATGTGACCCAAGTGTCACAATATGTACTGCAAGTACTTCAAGTCAGAATACTTAGCACATCATATTGGTATCTTAGTTGCTCATAAAATGTCAAAACGTAGGCCATAGGAATGATAAACAGGGAATGATAAATACTCTACCTCAAGAAAAAATATAACTCTTTAACGAAAAGAACAAACTGATAAAAATGTTAAAACAATGTAAAGAATCTCTAGAATAAATAGTTCAACAATCAATACCCAAGGTCTTTTTATGTAACCAAATTCTTGACTGGATTCACTAAATCTGAACTTATTTTATATTTCTCTAGTAATAACTTATCTAATAATCATTGTCCTAACCATTGAAACTATTTTAAATTTAATTATTTAGTCATAATTCTTAAGTGGACTTCAGTGGGGGGCAGGTAGGGAGCTTTGAAGCTAATAAATTAAAGGTGCTTTATAGTCAACATTACACACCAACCAATATGGGCTTAAAGACACAATCTGTCCTTCAAGCTGTACTGTCTCATAGCGAAAACGTGCACATGTACTTACCTTCCGGAACCACAACTATGTTATTGGAGTGAAGGTACCTAGAAGGGGATGGGGACGGGGGAAAAAGAAACCCAGCTGTTGTCATTCAGTACTTGTGCTAGGTCATCAACTTGTAACATGTTCATTCAGAAATGTATCAAATATAAACCAATCAAAACATTCCCACACTCCGCTCTGGTGCATTAATGTAAAACACGTGAATGTCACAGCTAACTAATACTTTGAGAATAATATCTGAATGCTAGAGTTGCAAATATTAAATCCACTTGTTGATTTAGTTGCTATTTAAAGCATGCATAAGTAGATAAATTATGAGGGTTTTTTTTTCAACTCCTCAAAACAAATTACTGGTTTCTTTAGGTCATTTTAAACTACTCAGCTTTTTAGAGATAAGCCTAATATGCAAAGAGAATAAACACCTGTTATGTAAAGAAAACTGAGACTTTTAGTTTCTACAGGATAACATCACAAGGTCTTTCTAGCTGGCTGAGAACTAAGAATGGAGAGATTAAACACGGTATTTACAGTATATGTAGAAATACTCAACTGTCAAGGCACAGAATTTATTTCACAGGGAGAAGAATTCAGTAAACAAGAAATCAAATTCTTCTCTTAAAAAAAAATTGCTGAGCCAGGATGACAAGTCCAGGCAAGTTTAAGTCAACAACACGTTTCCCACTGAAGTACCTTTACCGCCCTCTGGTGGACACTTTATGCAATCACCAGTTAGCAAATGGAGCAAAGTAGGTGGCGGCTGAAGATAATAACACAGTCGTGGTTTAAGATAAATCTGTCACTGACTTTGAGAAAAGAGAACTGGGCTTCAGTAAATTTTACTTTCAAATTTAGCATTTTATTATTCATATCCATTTTGTACTTCAAAACAAAATCATTATAAAGTACTTTTAAGTAGAATTTAGAAATTTTCTGTATTTTTAAAGCCTAATGCTGAAAGTTAAAATGTCAATGAACATAGAATTAAGACAGAAAGTTAACAATTTTGTGGCAACTATTCACTTATGGATTAAGCCGACATCACAGAAGGGATCAACCTGCTGGGTATAGCACAGTGTAACAAAGCACACCATTCCAAGATGCCTTTCATTGTTTTCTGTATATGAAATGATTCCACATTTTAAAATCAGTATGCTTTAAACATTAATGTTAGGAAAAAACCCAATTGTTTTATCAGATAACACTGAGAATTCTTTGTGCCCAGAAACTGTAAATATGCACGCATACACATAAAAAATAGACACTTGCATCCGTTACACAAGAGCCAGAGTGCCTACATTTCAAAAAAGAGAATTCATTTAAAAGTTTCTTCAACAAAATACTTGCTTCTCACCTCAACTTCTGTCTGTAGAATGGATCTCAAAATGTTCAAACCAAAATATGCTCTCAAGTATCACTATCAAAATTGAAACCTTAAAAGTACATTTTACCCATTAAATTTATCTACATTATAATGAAGATGCTGTATAAAGGAATGCAGAGTGTTCCCAAGCCTGACTATACAACTGTGCAACAGTACAAAAAGTGGGTGTTCGGCATAGCGGCTAAGACGCCAGTTAGGATCCCGTGTCCCGTATCAGAGTTCCTGGGTTTAAGACATGGCTCCACTCAAGAGTCCAGCCTCTTGCTAACGCACACCCTGGAAGACAGCAGGTGATGACTCAAGCAGCTGGGTCTCTGCCCCCCACATGGGAGACCAGACAGAGTGCGTGGCTCCTGGCTTTGGCCTGGCCCAGCTTCAGCTGTTGTGGGCATTTGGGGAGTGAACCAATTTGGGAGTTTTTGCCTGTGTCTGTCATCCTCTCCCTCCCTTTCAAATAAATAAAATTACTTCTTAAAAAATTAATGGAAAATTAACATTATCCTTTTTAAAAAAGATTTACTTATTTATTTAAAAGGCAAAGCAACAGAGAGACAGACAGACAGACAGACAGAGATCTTCCATCCACTGGTTTACTGCCCAAATGCTTGCAACAGCCAGGGCTGGGGCAGGCTGAAGCCAGGAGCCAGGAGCTCCATCCAGGTCTCTCACGCGGATGGCAAGGACACAAGTCCTCGGGTCACCTTCCAGAGCCCTTGCCAGTCGCACTAGCAGGAAGCTGATTGGGCAAGAAGGGAGCAGGGACTCGAACCGGCACTATGGCGTGGGATGCAGGCTTCCCAAAAAGCAGCTAACCCATCGCGCCATGACATCCACCCCTCGCATCATCCTTTAATGCAGTGTCTCCATGAGTTTTTAGAAGCCCTTTATATACTGGGGTCACCAGGGGTCTTCAAGATATTGGTGCCCAAGACCATCCTGTATCAAGTGAAACAGTCTCAACCCCTTAGGTAACTGTCGCGTGTACAACCCTGTGAGAATCAGCACTGCCGGGGACCACAGAGCAGACTCCGGGGCCAGACCTACAAAGGACAACGTAGGAGTCTCCTTAGGAACTGTGCAAGCCAGAAGACAGTGAGCACCCTGACAGGGCTGAAATTTAAAAAGACAACAACTGATGACTAAGCATTCTAGTGTGGGGGGGATTAAAATAGAGGTGATGAACACACAACTGAAAAAACCATCAGACTTTTAGGAAGGGAAAAACAACCCTCCAACGACAGGGGAGGGGAGGGGAGCGGAGGAGGGGAGAAGAAAGAAGAGGGAAGGGGAGGGGAGAGGGAAGGGGAGAGGAGGGGAGAGGAGGGGAGAGGAGAGGAGAAAGGAGAGGAGAGGAGGGGAGGAGGGGAGGAAAAAGGAGAGGGAAGGGGAGGGAAGAGGGAAGGGGAGGGGAGAGGAGAGGGGAGGAGAGGTGGGGAGGGGAGGGGGAGGGGAGAGGGAAGAGGAGGGAAGAGGGAAGGGGAGGGGAGAGGGAAGGTGAGGGGAGAGGGAAGGGGAGGGGAGAGCAGAGGGGAGGAGAGGAGGGGAGGGGAGGGGGAGAGCAGAGGGGAGGAGAGGGGACAGGGGAGAGGGAATGGGAGAAAAGAGGAGGGGAGGGGAGAGGGGAGGGGAGGGAATGGGAGAAGAGAGGAGGGGAGGGGAGAGGAGAGGGGAGGGGAGGGGAGGGAATGGGGAGAGGAGAGGGGAGGAGAGGGGACAGGGGAGAGGGGAGGGGAGGAAAGGGGAGGGGAGGGGAGGGGACAGGAGAGGAGAGGAGGGGGAGAGGGGAGCGGAGGAGAGGGGAGGGGAGGAGAGGGGAGGGGAGGGGAGGGGACAGGAGAGGAGAGGAGGGGAGGGGACAGGAGAGGAGAGAGGAGAGGGGAGGGGAGAAGGGAGAGGGGAGAGGGGAGAAGGGAGAGGGGAGAGGGGAGAGGGGAGAGGAGAGGAGAGAAAAGGACCCTTTGGGTCCCAGGGCTAGACAGAGTCTTAGATTTGACCTCAAATTCATGACACTTAAAGACAAAAACTGATGAACGGGGCCTCCAGAAAATGTACAACTTGTGTTCTGCAAACGCTTATGCTGGAGATGGAGACAAGCCACTTGTCACTGGTCACAATGGAATACAAAGGACTTGGCCCTAGAATATGGAAAGAATTCTTAGAACTCAGGACCAAAAACATACTAACAGTGCAACAGACACAGACAGGTCTTGGACCAAAGGAGAGATACTGGTGACAAAGTAAAGATGACAGGTATCGTCAGAGAGACACAGCGTGACCATACCACACAGCCACCCGGGCAACCAAAATGAAAAGCAGGGACAACACCACGTGCTGATGAGACATGCAGACACTTGGCCATCAAACACTGTCAGAGGAAATGTAAAACTTTTTATTTTTTTATTTTTATTTTTTATTTTTGACAGGCAGAGTGGACAGTGAGAGAGAGAGAGAGAGAGAGAGAGAGAGAGAGAGAAAGGTCTTCCTTTTGCCATTGGTTCACCCTCCAATGGCTGCCGCGGCCGGTGCACCGCGCTGATCCGATGGCAGGAGCCAGGTACTTATCCTGGTCTCCCATGGGGTGCAGGGCCCAAGCACTTGGGTCATTCTCCACTGCACTCCCTGGCCACAGCAGAGAGCTGGCCTGGAACAGGGGCAACCGGGACAGAATCTGGTGCCCTGACCGGAACTAAAACCCGGTGTGCCGGTGCCGCAAGGCGGAGGATTAGCCTAGTGAGCCGTGGCGCCGGCCTGGAAATGTAAAATTTTATGGATAATGTGAAAAATTATTTGCAGCTCCTTATAGAACTTACAATTCTGATCCAATGTGGTAGAGTAAGGCCCTCCATGAAATCACAAGGTTCTGGAAAAATGTTTAGCACCTGCATAGACAGAACTCTGGGATGAACCTCAGGGCCGCAGAGATCGGGCAGGGATGAGCAAGGGGAAATGGCAGAATGCGGCTACGACGGCAGCTGCGCTAGGCCTGATCCCACTCCCAGCCCTGCAGAGCCTGGATGACCAAGGCCGGTCATCTCAGAGAGATGGGAGAGGAAGTAGGAGCGCCTGTAGAGCCGCATCCCCAGGGAGCCCCTGTGCCGGGCCATCTCCCCGGGAGACTGGGACGGCCCCACACCGTGGAAATGCTACACCCATAGCCGCGACACAGTGTTGTCTAGAGCACAAGGACAAAAGCCTATACATGGTCAGCACGGACAGTTTTTTTCTCATGTCATCCTAAGGATGTCCCCTACCTGTATTCTGACAGTGACTCCAGACATCTGCAGTGATCAAAGTGACACCCAGCCACAGTGATAAACTCCATACACCCCACAGACACACATGCACACACACACAGGAGATCACAGAGACCTACGGTGATCAGAGTGGCACCAGCTACAGTGATAAATTATATATAACCACACGCACGCACGCACACACACACACACACACACACACGAGGTCATGGAGATGTACCCTGATCAAAGTGATACCAGCTACAGTGATAACCTAATATCCAATCCACACACACACACCACACCCCCCCACACGAGGTCATGGGAGATGTACCCTGATCAGTGACACCAGCTACAGTGATAAACTCCATATAACCACACACATACACACACACACACACACACACGAGGTCATGGAGATGTACCCTGATCAAAGTGACACCAGCTACAGTGATAAACTCCATATAACCACACACAATAGGGAGTTCGTGGAAGTCCAATGAAACTCAAGATCAGTGGATGGCGCCAATGTCAGTGTCCTGGCAGTGACCTTATCCTATCTGATACACGAAATTAATACTGGGGAAAACTGGAAGAAGGGTACACAGGATGTTTCTGTATTATTTCTTACAACTACATGTGCATCCAGCAATCTCTCTTTTTTTTTTTTTAAAGATTTATTTATTTGAAAGGCAGAGTTGACAGAGAAAGCTGGAGAGACAAACCCAGAGAGCTATCTTCCACTCACTGGTTCACTCTCAGCCTCGGCCAGACTGAAGCCAAGGGCCAGGAACTCCATCCGGGTCTCCCACATGGGCAGCAGAAGCCCAAGTACGTGGCCGTAACTCACTACCTTCCCGGGTACACTAGCAGGGAGCTGGACCGGAAGTGAAGGAGCCGGGACTTGAACCGGTACACCACTGTGGGATGCATGTGTCCCAAGCGGCAGCTTAACCCACGTGCCGCGCCTACCCCTCTGCCAATATCTCACAGTAAGAAGTTGAGTTTTACAGCGACAGAGGTCTTCCATCCACTGGTTCACTCCCCAGTTGGCCGCTATGGCCGGAGCTGCGCCGATCCGAAACCAGGAGCCAGGAGCCTCCTCCAGGTCTCCCACGTGGGTGCAGGGGCCCAAGGACTTGGGCCACCCTCTACTGCTTTCCCAGGTCATAGCAGAGAGCTGGATTGAAAGCAGAGCAGCTGGGACTAGAACTGGCGCCCAATATGGGATGCCGGCACTTCAGGCCAGGGCGTTAACCTGCTGCGCCACAGCGCTGGCCCCTGAAAGTTAAGTTTTAAAATGAGAGAAACAAAAACTTTTTGAAGCAAATCAAATGAGAGAATATAGGAATTAAATGTAGGGGATGTTTCAATTTCCTTAAATTAACCTTTTAAATTAAAAATGATAGCACTGTACTGTGTCAGTTCTCGGTTCACTGTCTCTGCTCCAGCCTCTTCGCTGTCCTCGCCCTGGGCTGGCCTAACACTGGGCTTCGACGAGAGAAGCAGGTAGGTGCCTCTCTTCTGGTCTCCGTCTGTCTTCAATTTCCACTCAGCACAGGAGCCAACGCCCAGTGGCGCTCACCTCAGCAGGTCTCGGGGAGGACCCCAAGCCACATCCCCAAACCCCCAACTCCCCGCCCAGGATCCCTTGGTCCCCGGCACCTCTGGCTGGGCCGTGGGCCACACTGCCCGACACAGCACTTCTGCAGAAGCTGGGGTGAGGACTGAACTGAGTCCTGCCCATAGCCTCGCACTGAGCTGCTTCGGCTGGGCCTTCGGACAAGACTTCAGTCCCGGCCCACAGCCTGTGAGAGACCTTGGGGCAAAGCACCAGCTAAGCCATGCTCAGAAAATAAAAGATAACAGATGCTTGGTCGTTTTGGCAACTGAATTTTTGGACAATTTGTTAAGCAGCAAGACACCTAATAGAGATGTACATGAGCTCAATGCACTGGGCTACACAGAGCTTAACTGTGGAACCAGCACCTTCCCCTAAAGTAAAAGGGCCGGCAAGATGTTCACCACGTCCCGGACACTTCCACGCCCTCTGGATGCCCCAGCCAGTGCACTTGGATGAGACAAAATAATCCAAGGCAGAAGAGTTGGAAAAGTAACAATCTACACTTTAGACATGAGGATAGATTTGGAAATCTTGCAGAATCTATGATAAAAGCTAACTGAAACAACAAGACACTTCAGCAAGACAGAGGATATAAAGTTAACATGTTAGAAATCGAGTGTCCACATGTATAAAACGTAACTCATTACAAGATATAAGAGATGAGAAAATTCATTGAAAACAGCAAAAAGGAAAGAATACATATTTAAGGTTAGATTTAGAAATTGAGAATTTCCAAGCCTATATGAAAAGGACTATCAAGCATCCTAAGTACACAGAAGTAAAGAAAACAATGCAGACGCCCTTGCTCTTCACAGTTCAGATGAAGGAGTGAGAGGCAGAGACAGAGCTATAATGTATGTAACCGAGAATGAAGGAGTGAGAGGTAGAGACAGAGCTACAAAATATGTAACCAAGAATGAAGGAGTGAGAGGTAGAGACAGAGCTACAATGTATGTAACCAACTCTCAGAACCTTCAGAAACAAATGCGTATAGGGCAGACTAAGAGCAAGAGCCTGGTCAATCGCACGGAGTAACCCACCACCCAAAAAGCCTAAATGGAATCTCATCAAGAGGAAACAAGCAAATCAGACATCTGTTTTAAAAAGGCTGTTAAAAACTGGAGTGACTGACACGTGAACTATGGGTTAGATGAGACTGAATCAATAGCCTAGATGTGATGCTGCTATTGCACGTACAATTCACTTTCCAATGAGCCAACACAAAAGGGGCGGGAGAGGCAGCAGAGGCAAACGTGGTAATATGTTAAATTTGGCTCAGTTCAGGTAAAGGATATACGGTGCTCATGGTACTAGGTTTTCAACTTTTCTGTTAGCTTGAAGATTTTCAAAACAAAAGGACGGTGCACAAGGAAATGACTGAGACCCTGAGCAGGAGGATGGAAGTGTGGGGTTACCTCTCCTTCCTGTACATCCCAAGAATCATACCAACAGAGAGACCGGGAAACAGCAAGGCAAAACCTCCCGCAACAAAATCAGGAGGCAGGGGGCCTGGCGCCGCAGCGCAGTGGGTTGATTCTCTGCCTGTGGCACCAGCATCCCATATGGGCGCCGGTTCTAGTCCCGGCTGCTCCTCTTCTAATCCAGCTCTCTGCTATGGCCTGGGAAAGCAGTAGAAGATGGCCCACATGCTTAGGCCCCTGCATCCGCATGGGAGGCCGGGAAGAAGCTCCTGGCTCCTGGCTTTGGATAGGCACAGCTCTGGCCATCGTGGCCATTTGGGAAGTGAACCAACAGATGGAAGATCTTTCTCTCTGTCTCTCCCTCTGTCTGTAACTCTACCTCTCAAATAAATAAAATCTTTTTTTTAAGATTATTTATTTGAAAGGCGGACATACAGAGAAAGAAGTAGGAAGAGAGATCAGTCTTTCTTCTTCTTTTTTATTTTTGTTTTTCTTTTTGACAGGCAGAGTGGACAGTGAGAGAGAGAGACAGAGAGAAAGGTCTTCCTTTGCCGCTGGTTCACCCTCCAATGGCCACCGCGGCTGGCGCGCTGTGGCCGGTGCACCGCGCTGATCCGATGGCAGGAACCAGGTGCTTCTCCTGGTCTCCCATGGGGTGCAGGACCCAAGCACTTGGGCCATCCTCCACTGCACTCCCTGGCCACAGCAGAGAGCTGGCCTGGAAGAGGGGCAACCAGGACAGAATCTGGCACCCCAACCGGGACTAGAACCCGAGTGCCGGCGCCGCAAGGCGGAGGATTAGCCTAGGGAGCCGCGGCGCCGGCCCAAATAAATAAAATCTTAAAAAAAAAAATATCAGGAGGCAGGGCTAGATGTTGTACCACCACCAGCTAACATGCTGCCTGGGATACCTGCATCCCATAATAGAAGTGTCTGGCATCAAGTTCTGCCTCCATTTCCCATCCAGCTTCCTGCTAACACACTTGGGAGGCAGGTGATGGCAGAAGTACTTGGGGTTTTGCCATGCACGTAGGAGACTCAATTGGAATTCCTGGCTCCTGACTTTGTCTTGACCCATCAAGGGCTGTTGTGGCCATTTGGGGAGTGAGCCAGCAGATGAAAGATATCTCTCTGAATCTGTCACTCTGCCTTTCAAATAAATAAATTAAATTAAAAAAAATTTTAAAAAAAATCAGGAGGCAGATAGAAGGGAAAAAGTAAGATATTTACATTTATCTTCCCTAGTGGTCAGTTAACAGGAGATAAAAGTTAATGGACTGGGGCTGGCACTGTTGCCTCACAGGTTAAGCTGTTTTCTGCAAAGCAGGCATCCCATATGGGCATCGGCTCAAGTTCTGGCTGTTCCACTTCCAATCCAACTCTCCGATAACAAGCGGGAAAGCAGCAGAATACAGCCCATATCCTGGGTCCCTGCCACCCAGCTGGGAGACCCAGATGGAGCTCCTGGCTCCTGGCTTCGGCCTGGCCTAGACCTGACATTGTGGCCATTTGGGGAGTGAACCAGCAGATGGAAAATCTTTCTGTCTCCTCCCACCCCCCTCTCTCTAACCCTGCCTTTCAAATCAATCAATCTTTTAAAGAAAAGTTGATGAACCAAAACACAAAGGTGTGGAGTCAGCACTGGGCCTGGCGGTCAAGTCGCCGGCATTCCACGTTAGAGCACCTGGGCCCATGCCTGCCCTGGCTCTCCATTCAGCTTTGAGCTTATGCAGACCTTGGGAGGCAACAGATAGCGCGAATGGTTGGGTTCCTGCCACCCTGAGACCTGGACTGAGTTCCTGGCGCTCAGCTTTGGGCCCAGTCCAGCCTCGGTCCTTGTGGGTGTTTGGGGAATCAATCAGATGAGACGTCTCTTTCTAACTCTCTCTCTAACCAAGCTTTTCTAAAATTTAAAATCAAAGGTGTAAACATAACTTAGCATCATGGACGTAATCTTCAAAAGAACCAAATCGAACGGTGTGGAGGATGAAAAAAACCGTTCACTGTCGGCATCAAGCACCACGCGCAGTCGTAGTAGTAACAGTAACAGAGTTCCCCAAAGCACGGCCTTCCGGAATTCTGCCGCAAAGCTGCAGCTCCCCAGAGATGCACCTTTCACCCTCACTGCCCCGGGTGAGACACAGAAAATCCCAATCCACATGGTAAAATTCTGTAAGTCCACTAATTGAGCACTAAGACTGCACTACTAAAAGTCACAAATCAATACATGAAAATGACACATCCTAACAGTTCAAATTACTTAGTTTCATTTTTTTTTTTTTTTTTTTAAAATGTGAATAAACAGACTCACAGTTCCACAAGGTTTGGAAGCTTCTGAGCAAGGTTTTCTGGCTGAAAATTAAAAACTCAGAATTAAATTTTATTTTTGAAAAATGTATAAACATTTCTAATTTGCTTAAGCACAAAGTATTACCTTCTGGTGGGGCACACGACTTGAGAAATAATAAACCAGCCTGCCTGCAGGTTATGCTTACACAGACCATACTATAACTTACACATTTAAACATTCAAAATCAATGTCCCTTAGAGAACCCAGAAACCTCTTCCATGGAAGAAATAAAAATGTCTTAACAGACGCAGACAGAGAGGAGAGCGCTATGTGAGGACGGAGCCAGACAGGGGCAAGGAGCCCCAGAACCACAGTGGGGCAGGGGGTGGGGGGGTGGAGGTGGGGGGGGTGGTGGGGGTGCAGGTGGGGCAGGGGGTGTGGGAGATGCAGTTAGTGTGACGTATTAATCAGCGTTCTCTTCTCAGCTTCTAGGAAGGAAGGCAGCAAAACTACATCTGGGTTTTCTTTGTGCAGGGGGGCGATACTTCCTGGCCAAGCCTTAGACACAAGCCCCATCCACCAACTCCAAAGAGAAAGTCAGGGAAATTCGCAGCCCAGCTCCAGTGGGAATAAACAGAGGAAGCTGAGCTCACGCAGGACAAGGGTGTGTCTCCCTGCTCACGGTCCTGAGGGCACAGCAGAGGCAAGGAGGGGCAGGGACAGGAAACCAGCCACCGAGAAGGGGGAGCGAACAGGAATCTGGGTCCCTCGTCCAAAATCCAAAATCGGAGTCCTGAGAGACTGGCCCGCCCAGGGTGAGGGAACGCCCCTCTGTGCTGCAGGCTGTGGGTGAGGAAGCCTCCAGTAAACATCCCGGGCAGCCGGTGTGCACAAGGAGCTTCCCTTGCACTGAGGAACTGCGCTACCTTTTCTAAGACTTACGTCATCTATTGGAAAGGCAGAATTGCAGAGCAAGGGAGAGACAGAGACAGAGATTTTCAATCTGCTGGCTCACCCCTCAAATGGCTGCAACAGCCGGGGCTGGGCCAGGCTGAAACCAGGAGTCAGGAACTTCATCTGAGTCTCTCACATGGGTGCAGGACCCCAAATACTTGGACCATCTTCCACTGCATTCCCAGGGGCATTAGCAGGGAGCTGGATTAGAAGTGGAACAGCCAGGACTCACTGGCGCTCACACGGGATGCAGGCTGCAGCCTGACCTCCTGTGCCACAACACTGGCACCTACAATATCTTTTCATCCCACTTTTCCATGCAAGTTTTGAAGTCCCTTTGTATATAAAATCAATCCGTCAATCTCTCTCTCTCTCTCTCTCTCTCTCTCTCTCTCTCTCTCTCTCTCTCTCACACACACACACACACACACACACAGAGTTCAAGTTTACGAGTACACAAAGGAATGAGTGGCTAAGAGTGAAGGTGCACTCTGAGGAGCTGTGGTTCTTGTCAGCCACATTCACGCACAACATACAATGAGCTAGACACCAACAACGAAGGACTGCGAATGCCTTTTGAGAAGACACGTGGTCTGACTCAGTTTGGAAGGCCATCGTAAATTCTAAGAATTGACGTGGGGTGGAGGGAGCTGGCTCTGCCTGCTCTCCAGGCCCAGCAGGCATCCTAGGAAAAAGCAAAGAGCACGAGGTGTGTTTAGGGAGTCGCAGGGATGATCAATTTGGCTGCAGCTCTAACTGCACTGCTGAGGAGGCCCCCACCTGCAGGAGACAGGCAGGTCAACAGCAAAAGCACTGAGGGTCACGGAGTTTCCGATTTGCAGTAACAAAAGTAGTTTTCAGTAATAGTGATTGTCATTAAGAAAAAGATGAGGATTCCTATTCTCTACCTACTCATGTCACTTGAACTTTCAATAATAAGCATGTATGCTTTTTTTTTTTTTTTGACAGGCAGAGTGGACAGTGAGAGAGAGAGACAGAGAGAAAGGTCTTCCTTTGCAGCCGGCACGCTTGGGCCAGCCACCACACTGATCCGATGGCAGGAGCCAGGTGCTTCTCCTGGTCTCCCATGGGGTGCAGGGCCCAAGCACCTGGGCCATCCTCCACTGCACTCCCGGGCCACAGCAGAGAGCTGGCCTGGAAGAGGGGCAACCGGGACAGAATCTGGCGCTATAACTGCAAAAATAAGAACTAAATTTTAAGATGTGGTATGCATGGTATAAGTTGTCACGGTATAAGTTGTCACGTTATTGATCAGTCATATGATTTGAAATCTATGCACACAATGAGATTAGTGACATTAGTTTGTTATGTCTGGGTCATGGGGTATGAAGAAGTACAGTGATTTTACAGAGTAACAATGAACAAATCATTAAGGGCTTATGTTTGATAAGGAGTAACTTTTTCTTTTCAATGTTTACTTACTTGTTTGAAAGGCAGAGAAACAAAGTGAATTCCCGCCCACCGGTTCCATTCCATTGATTTTATCCACTCCCCAAATGCCCACACCGGCCACCTGGGACTGGGCCAGACCAAAGCCAGGAGCCAGAAAAGCCATCCAGGTCTCCCCCATGGGTGGCAGGGACCCAAGGACTTGGGCTGTCGTCACTGCCTCCCAGGGTCTGCATTAGCAGGAAGTTGGAGTCAGGAGCCAGAGCCAAGACTCGAACTCAGGCACTTTGAGTGTCTTAACCACAAGGCCACATGCCCCCCTCCAATAAGCAGTGACTTTTTTAAAACCCTGAACACAATGGAAATCCTCTGGCTTATTTAAAACAAGGAAATGGCATTAATCTCATTTACTGAGTATTCTAACAGAACCACTTGGATTTAGTTTTACAATGCTGGAAGGTGTCGGTCTTTTTCTCAGTTGTTATCATCGCCACGGTATCAGTATAGGCAATGAGGTCCTGAAAAGCCAGCCCTTGCTCTGGTGTTGCTTGTGGATCTCCCGAATCCCCGGGACGTCCTGCGAGCACTGGTATCCCTCCCGGTGAGCAGCCTGCATGCTTCAATTTCTGGGCACACTTTGAAAGGATCCCGGGGAGCCAGAGTGATGACGGGGAGGGGTGCTTGAGGTGCACTCTTCCCATACAAGGAAAGACTTGTTCAGAAGAGAAGTACTGTCGGCACAGCCTCGGTCTCGGGTCTGGCTAACTCACAGGAGCCATCGCCCTCTCTGTGCCTCCCGGGCTCCTCTGGGTAGCGCCCTCAGCCTCCTGCAGCAGACTCTTCAGCCCTTCCCCGCTTTAACCACACACCACTAAGCACTGAGATGAGGCTTCTGCAGCCAACAGCGCACCTCGAAGGCTTCACGCACAAGTAAGCACACTGTATTTCTATCTAAAACTAAGTACAATGACGCTGAAAAAAAACTGTAGTTCATTAGGATACCACCTTTTAGAAATACAAACATAAATCACTTAGGGAGAGACGCTCCAAGAGCCTGGAGAACTAGCAGCCCTGGCGCCCAGGTCGAGGCTGACACCTGCTGGTGTCCTGTGGTATCACAGCACATCTGCAGCAACACAGCCCAGACATATACTGGGAATGCTATTTCAATGTTTTTTTAAAATTATAGAAGATTTGAATTTTTGAATTCATAAGTTATTTTCCTCTATTTAAAGGCATAGAGACAGAGATAGAGAGAGATCTTCTATTTGCTGGTTCACCTCACAAAGACCCACAATAGCCAGGGCTAGGCCAAGTCAAAGCCAGGAGCCCAGAACCTTAAAATTTAGGAACAGAGAGTAAGAGACCAGACAACTGTACATTAATGCCAAAATGTTTGTTATCCCAGGGGCAAGTGTTTGGGACAGAGCTAAAAACATCCCTGGGGATGTCTACCTTCCAGACGTACAGGGCGGGACTGAGCCCCCAGTTCCTGGCTTTGGCCTGGCCCAGCTCTGGTGTTGTGGGCATTAGGGGATAAGAGGATTGGTGTGCTCTCACTCTGCCTTTCCCATACACACAAAATGTGATTTTTAAAAAATCTGTGTTACCGTGCAGGTAGCAAGGCTCTGAAGCAGGATTATAACTGTCACACAAGCTGGTTTATCCTGGCCCATATGATTTACAAGCTGCTGAATCTTAAATGTTTTTAAATTTTAAATCCTAAAAAAAGCGATCATCTTAAAGTGATTCTCACATTTGCCGTCATTTCCTCCTTTCTTCCCGCAGTTGTGACACAGAGAAGTGTGAGCAGGTAAATAACTTGCAGGCTAATTCCCTGCACCTCCTACCAAGTCACTTAAAAACCGGTCTGAATTGAACCAGATTCTCCCTACTAAATCTCACAATTGTTTCTTTATAAATAACGCAAAAGTAAATGTGAGCAAGCACAGTTAGCATAAAATTTACCTCGAGTTTTAAGTCAACGATGCTTTACCCAGACTCCTATTCTTAAGTTTCTCATAAGTGGGAATGTTTTAAAATCATGCATCTTGGAACCAATCCTTAAATAGATGTGCAGACACCACCCCGTTTGGTGGCCTTCCCTGTTAGGTGCTACACACCACCCTCCTTTCCTGTTCCTTCCAGGCACCTGTAGCGCCATACTTCTTGAAGTCGACCATGGCGCACACATCTTGCCTGGTCAGTGAGCTTTAGTCCCAGTGGCAGTCCTGTGGAGCTTGAGTAGGAAAGACCTGGCCCCTTCCACGGTGACGGCTGGGACAAGCTTCATCCTGAGTAGGGACACTACAGTCCCCATGTACGGAGAGCAGTGTGAACAAGAGATACCCGTGCTGTTACAGGCCACCAACACCCGGCCCAGCTGCACCTGCCCCAGCCTGGCCTCAAACAACACATTTCAGAAAAGTCATGAACTAAATGCTTTGTCATCCTCACAGAGGTTGTACAAAGTAGAACCAAGGAGAATGAAGATGCACCCCATCTCATACCATATGCAAAATTTAGCTCAAAATGGATGAAAAACTTTAAGAACTAAAATTGTAACTCATAGAAGAAAACATAGGAATAAATTTCTATGACTTTGGATTTACAGACAATCCACAAAAAGCATGAGTAACAATAGTAACAATTTAAGGACATGACAAGAAAGTACAATCTACAGGGGCCAGTGCTGTGG